CAAATGCCAAGAATAAACAATTTCCTATTCTTATAAAAGATGATCTTACTTTGTTAATCCCAAAAATCGAGAAGTTTGGACATTAATTCCAAAATTAGCAAATGGCTACCAAAAGTACCACAAAACATTTTGAATCCCGGCGGCAAGACATTCATGGAACCAAAATGGTTGATTCGCCGTTCCCTCAGATCACAGAATTATTGGGGGATTCGAATATGTGTCCGAATATAATTAACGCGTTCGAATATATCTTTGTATAGTTGTTTATCAGTGAATGGGAAATAAACGAATGACGAGGTATTAAAATATCCCAAAACCTCCATAGAAGTATTCATTTCAGGTTTAAATAGTCGTCGACCTCAAAAAAACAAATGACAAAATGAAACCGTAACATTTTTGCATTTAATACAAAACATTGAATGTTTTTAGGTTGTTTTCAAAAGTTTTGTACGCTTTAATGAGTCTATTTGTAACTTTAATATCTCATTTGAATAAATATTTACAGAGATATGGAACTACAAAAACACATGACATTGAAACGGATAAAACTTGTGAATGAATTCAATAATTGTGATATTAGCAAAGCAAAGTATTATAACTGAAGTGTGACGTTTGGTACCATTAGAAACACGACCATTTTCCAAATTGCTATCAACTACTGATGATATCAATAGCTGATATAATCATTGTTACATATTCGCAACACTGGCTTAATAATTTCTATCTTGGCCGCTACTATTGACCATGGACCAAAAAACAAAGATTATGTGTCTGAAACTGAAATAGCTCTTCCAAATAACTTTAGTTGATTCACTATCATCGTGAATCGAAAATATTTGGATTGCTTCAACGTCTTAAGCGACCAACATTATTGGTTTCCGAGATGATTTTCTTTTATATCAACTCCAACAAATATATTGTAAAAGAACACAAATTGACAATGGACATTATCGGCGACATCCAAAGGTTTTATATCTCAATGAAAACCTGGAAAAAAATTCGCTTTGTATGAGAGAATCCAAGTAGAATTCAATCCTAAGAAAACCCAGACATTAATTATGTTTGAGAAAGCGAATGTGGCAGAACCAGACATCATTATCAGAACACACAATGGGGAATGTTCCTCCTGATGAAAAACAAGTAGTTTTCATAAAAGAGCTCTAAAACAACACATTTTAAACTTATCATTTTAACCTTTTTCTTTAAAAAATTATTTAAATACTTAAAAAACAGGAATGAAATCATGCATTCAACATTTAAAGGGATTCGTTTCTATTTCACCATTTGGCAACATCGGTTATAGCTAATAAAGGACAATGAATCTGTTACCTGTATGAGACAAACAAAGATGACATATTTCAGAGGCGTGCTGTTCTGTTTACTTACGTTCCGAGTTCCGAGACAATCTGTGGCATATGACATTTTGTGCACCTAACCTATCTTCCTCTATATAAATAAATAACAAAACAACTGTTGTTTATGTGGCTTGTGGAGATGGTATTTAACTATAATTTATATTTTGCCTCAATTGTTGATTCATAAAGATAATTTTCCTTTTTTGAAGTAGAATATCTAGGTACGTATAAATTATTTCAACTTGATATAGGCGCTGTTGCCAATATGTGAATTAGAAACAAATCCCTTTAAAAATTAAAACCCAACATTTGAAACATCAATTTGAATACTTTTCGAAGTGAATTCGAAAAATTCATGGATTAAACTCAACTCTATTTTGTTCAAACTTGCATTTGCTGTATAATAACCCAAATTGAGGAACATTTCCCATTCCGATAGCGATAGGTCTTGGCACAATCACATTATTGGAATAGCAGAGGCAGCTTTGCTTTCAAATAGACAGTTTTTTTGAGTGTCCTAACATAATTAAAAGAATTGTGACATGATAGGTATGTGGAATATCAAAAATAATTGAGCCACAATTGCATTAAGAAAATAAATATTTCGAAATGAAATTTAATTTTGAAACATCCTTCTCTCCAAACGTTCCTACCCAGTAGAATATGGAAATAAACTGCTGAAAAACAACTATTCCCTCGACAAATACCACGAAATTTAATTGCTGAACATTCATTTAGGTGTCTTATATGTACTTAAATTTACAATGTTACGTATTAAGTGAGTGCAAAATTAATGTTTTTTTTTGTTTTTTCCGTGTTACTTTCATACATGTTATATTATACACAATATGTTTATTTCCTTCACTCATGATGGGAAAGACTGTTTCATAAGATTACTTATTTATAACTGGTTTGCTGAAATAAATTCTTCTTCATTAGTTCTTTATAAACATAAATGATGAGTGCACAGGGCCAAGAACTGGACCCTGCGGTACTGTGGTGTTCCATTAAGTTTGGTACACTGTTATACTATTGTTATACTATTCAAAAAATTCCATTTGATGTTTATAATCACGATATTTTCATTTGCCAGCCCTCAGTAATAGTGATTTTCAAACGGACATTGTAAAGTTTCTTCACTAATTTTTACAGAATAACTTGAATTATGTGCAGTGAAATACATAAGTAAGAAACCGTTGAAGGGACTTCATGAAATTTCATTATTTTTTTTAAATTTTTGTGTCGTTTAACAATCAAATCATTGGTTTAAATTTCTTCATTGAACTTCTCTGTAAACTATTTCCCATTGAACCTCGCTATAAACTATTTTTTCAACTTCTATTGTTCACGTCAACGAATGTTTTTATATTTGTATCTTCTTCGACTATATGCTTTCAAAATTCCGTTCTTGTTCAGACATGTAAATTGCCCTTTGTGAAAAGAGCGTAATCTTGTTTCGACCCTATTATATACTCGCCCTCAAAAAAGGAATTCCTCGTCGTTAGTTTAGCCGTTTGATGTTTCCAGACTGTTTGAAATTCAAGACGTACCTATCTGTTGCATTATGTATTGTATTCGTATAAGTAGATTTAAGTGACCAGTTTACTTTTTCTCGATTCGTTTTTAAAAATTCCTTGGAATTAAATTTTTCCTGGGTTTATTTGTAAGAAAATTCAAGGAGAATGATATTTTGAAGATGTTTCCAAAGAATTTGCCGATATGCCGACATCCTCAGCAACTTTTGTAATAGTGATTCAACGAACAGTCGATTCAGATAGGCTGCAGAAAAATTTTCAAGCGTGAATGTTAGAATAGATTTTTTTTCAATATACACATCTAAGGTAGAGATTTGTTGTAGACTAAACCGTGCAGACCGTTTAGATCAAAACTGTTTTGTACTCCTGGAGATGTCGACCATTCTTGTTGGTAAATCATTCAGATATTCGCTCAGAAGTACGACAAGAAAGATTTCACTCTATGATTTGCCCTAGCTCACAATTATACTCTTAATAAATACTTGTGATTGACTGAAGGTAACGGGTCAGAGTTGTACTTGCCCATTGGTAATCATATTTAATAATGTTTCTCAGCCTACCGAGCAAAATGTCACAATCTGGTCCAAATAACTGAGACAAGCTGAAGAAAGAGATAAAATTGAATTGAAAATAGTTTTGAAAAGAATAATCCTATCCAAATAAACTAGTGTCAGACTGAGACTTTTTCCCTAGACAAATTTAGAATACAAGTTAAAGGGTGAATTAGGTTCTGCCTTTTCACATTTAGGCAGATGTTGTAATAACCTCAAAAACACTTCAAACTTTTTTTCTTGATATCAAATTATATTGACCATTATACAGTGTCATCCCCAAAGTATGCATCATATGGGAAACTTATTTATCAAGGGTTTCCAGATAAAAAGTTATTCTTGATAAAAGTTTGTGCAGCCCCTAAAACCAAACATGCACCAACGAAATACAGTAAAACACAGTAATCTACGAGGAGCCTTCAAATATTTGATTTTCAGACAAGAATAAAGTAAGTACTCTTATTTTGAAAAATCTCGAGAAATGTTATTCAGAAAAGTTGTTCAGCATTAAAAAATACATCCAGATTTGAAGTCATGGCCATCTAAGTGAAGTTTTATTTTTTTACCCATTTTTTTAATAGGGAACACGAAAAAAAATTGTTAAAACGATAAATAGACAGCATCCTGTATACGACGGTTTATTTCAAAAGCCTGCAATATTACAAATCACACAACTATTGTGTTAACCACGGTCAATTTTTATGAAGAGTAAAATAATTTTCAAAATTTTTGGTGTAAAGTTATTTTTATTTTTTGTTAACACCGAAAATACTCAAAATTATACAGTATTGTAATAAGAACCTAATATTCAATAATATCAAATCACAAAACATGAAAATAAAATAGGTGTTTTGGAACAAACTCATTGATTTTCTGGAGATTATTTTGGACAAGAACATCTCCAGAAAATCAATGAGTTTGTTCCGAAATACATATTTTATTTTGATCTTATGTAATTTGATATTATTGAATATCAAGGTCTCGCTACAATAATGTATAATTTCGAGTATTTTTCGGTGTTAACAAAAAATAAAAATAACTTTGCACCATAAACTTTGAAAATTATTTCACTCTTCAAAAAAATTGACCGTGATTAACACTATAGTTGTGTAATTCGTAATATTACAGGCTTTTGAAATAAACCGTAGTATACAGGATTTATCGTTTTAGCAAATTTTATTTTTCGTAGTCCCCATTTAAAAAAAACTTCGCTTAGATGGCCATGACTTCAAATCTAGATGTATTTTTTAAATGCTGAACAACTTTTTCAAATAATATTTCTCGAAATTTTTCTAAATAAGAGTACTTTACTCTTGTCTCAAAATCAAATATTTGAAGGCTCCTCGTATATTACGTGTGTTTTACTGTATTTTATTGGTGCATGTTTAGTTTTAAGAGATGCACAAACTTTTATCAAGAGTTAACATTTTGTCTAAAAAGTCCCATATAGTGCATACTTTGAAGATGACACTGTATGTGCTTACTACGAATTTTAACTGTAATAATACGATTATATAGTTATTTAAGTATGTTCATTAATTTTATTTTATTTTTTTCAGGAAATGGTTCAAGCCAAGGACCCTCCTTCTTATTATTTAAATAAATTACGCACATATCTGGATCCTAAGGCGTCTAGGAGTCATAGGGTGAGTTATAAATAAATGAACAAATAAGTATAGTGATAATCGATTACCAACAGAATTTGAAAGTTTCATTACCGTTGGTTTATAAAACATACGTTATACAAAATAACTTGACTAGAAAAATTATAAACTTATACAGGGTGTTTCAAATTCGATCCTCACCATTGGGATCTCGGAAACTATGAGAGATTCGAAGATGGTTAAATTGGGGCAAAGTTGCGCATTTACCTGACTAACAATATGCCTTTGAGAAAGTTCGGAAATTCCGAGTATATCCGGAGATATCCGGAAAAAAGGATATTTCGGAAAATGGTTTAAATTTTTTCCTGGCTTTATTTTTCGAAAGATTCGAGAATAAATTGCACTTCCACATTGCCACTGCTACATAATGGTGTTCAGATTTGTCATCTGACGTTTCGTCATCCGGCCACCATCATCAACTTTATTTTTTCTTATGGGCGCTAGATTCTTTCTGTTTTGAATAGAACCAGATTTTTCCTTTTCAATGATGTATCATAAGTTATCATTCTTTTTCGAAAAATTGGAGATATTGATAAAAATTAATTCTTAATAGGTTTTGACTTTGATGTTCCTAAATTTTACTTTCAATTTGTTACACTCAATGGCATTTTGTTATTGTACAAGTCATTGAATTTTTGACGAAAAATGGTTTTCACGAATAAAGAAAAAATAGATATGATACAAATTTATTACAAATACGATGGAAACAGTGTTAGGACACCAGAAATCAGGGGTCGAGAACTATCGATAGTCTTGACCATCAATAGTATTGGATAGTTCGACTTTTGACTATCGATAATTATCGATAGTTTTCGATAGTAAACTTTTTTTTTAAGTTTCATGACGTGAACCTGGTGGTGATCGTGATCTTATCAACTCGTGGTCCTCGTCCTCAGTACATGAAACTGGTAAAATTCTTTCTGTAAAAAATCACCTTGTTAAAAACAAATACTTCTAATATAAAGTGCCAGCTAAAATAGTCATCCAAACAGACATTATAATCATTTTTAATTACCTTTTGCCTTGCACGTACTTGCACCATGTTGTTTTATTAAAAATTCCTCAAAAACCGAAAAAGAATAAAAATAAAACTACAACTAAAACAAAACAAACAATAAAATATAAAATGTAAACATTCGATGACTGGATTGACTGGTGACTTTTTCTTCTTCTTTTTTCTTCTTTTCTTATCCTATAATGACAGATGAAACTGATGAAAGAAGTTTCATCTTTCTCTTCTTTTCTCACTTTTGTTTTAAATAATGTTATTTTCTACTCTTTTTTTCCCTTCTTTCATTGTGTCATTTATGTCAACGGTCAATATCAAGTGAAAAATGTCAAGATACGTTGACATCACTCACATACTACAACTATCGAATACCATCGATAGTCTAAAAATATAATCGATAGTGTTCGATAGTTGAAACTATCGATAATTATCGATAGCGCCATCGATACTTCTCGACCCCTGCCGGAAATGTATTTAAACTTGTATCCCGAACACATCGAACTGTTTCAAGTTATTGGATCAAAATCTCACCGAGCTTGGTTCATTTGAAAAGCCGAGGAAAAATACCCCAATAATTCGTCTAAAATTTTTCAATTAAGCTCCATCATCGCATATGGTAGCCCATCATCAAGCAATTTCTCGAACAATAAAACGATTTGAATATCGGGTAGGGTTGTCTATCATTTCAGACTTGTTAAACATCCCTCGTCAGCTTATTCGAGATGCCGTCTGTATGCACGTGTGTACGCATAACAAGGCGTTAGATGATTATTGCACCCCCAACCCGACGTGGGTTATCAACCATTTGATCGATGGTCTCGGTGTCAATACAAATTACTTGGACGGACAACCTACGGTTTCCTAAGTGCTTGATTTGTAGGGGACCATTCAGGGTGGGAGCGTAAACACTGTAGGATTGTACAGGGTGAATCCCGAATAATGGACATTTTCTTTAGAAACTATATGTGCTTGCGTTTATGTTAGAACTGAAAACGACTTTAATTTAGCCGCTGGACCGCCTTTTCGCGAAACAAAAATAAAATTGGTTCGTTTTTATGAGAGTTCTCGTGGAAAACGTTGATTTATAATAATAATAAATGAATTTATTGACGGCAGAAATGATATGATACAATATGGAGGGAAAAAATACAAATTCGTCAATAGGATACAATATTGAACAGAGTTCATTCTTCCTCTTACACCTTACAAAAAAAAAGTTGAAAAAGATAAAAAGCAAAAGAGCCTGAATTGTAATTGTGATAGCGGATACATTTTATTCGAATAAAGAGGGGAGATGAGGAGGATATCGATACAAACATTAGAATAGTAAAATTATTTTAGCCAAGGTTTCGTAGAAGATATTCTGGTATAATCAAAGCCTCTCCATGGAAGTTGAAGGGAGAGAATGTTATATTCTCTTTCCTAACAGTAAAAAGTATTAAATACTTATTATATAGGGTGTTTCATTAAGCGCCGTCCTATTGAAACCACATGTTGATGTCCAGATCATTTAATTCAGGCCGAAAGAAGTTGGTAATCATCAAATAATGCTCGCCGATGACAGTGATGGCCTGGCCAATGTCGTCCTCAAAGAAATATGAACCGATGACGGCTCCAGTCCAAAATTCACACCAACCAGTGACTTTTTTGAGATGCATTGGACGCTCTTGGATAACATGTGGATTGTTATCGTTCCAAATTCGACAATGTTGTTTGTTCACGCATCCATTGATCCAGAAATGGGCCCCATCGCTGTAGATGATTTTTCGATGAAAATTAAAGTTAGTTGCCAACTGCTCTAGAGCTCATTCAGCGAACACACGTTGTTGTCCAACAAAATCCCAAAACATGTCAAATATAAATTATAATTTGACTTGTGATACAATTAAGATGAAATAAATCAAAATCATGGCAATAAACTCAAATCTTATTTCATGTTGAGGTATTGATAATAAGAAAGTAAGCAAAAACCATAGCAATGTTCTTGTTAGATGCTATCCTTTAAAAAACTAAATAATTTCCGTGGCAACGTTAGTTTAAAACGCCTTGTTAACTTGTTTTGTATGTTGCAACATTAGTTGTCGGTATTTTGATTTAAATTCAAAGTTTGCTAACTTCAAGTCTGACAAATGGTTAGATTAACGGGAATGCATAAAGTAACAGTGTTACAAATGATTGGTTACGGAGATAAAACCTGAACGCCTATTTCATGAGAAATTTCCTAATTTATCGCCCATATCTCAAGGAACAATAAGCAAAATAGAGAAGCAGTTTCGCGAGCTTGGTCAGGCATCCACTACATTCAATGTTAGCCATACATCGATAGTAAACATATTAAAAGAACTTATAATGTACTGTTTGGAACCTTTAGTGTAGTAATGAATATTACTGGAGTTTTTTCCCAACACCAAATCGTTATTTTTACACCTCGACATGTGTTTCGATCACCAAGTGATCTTCAAGAGGAAGATAAAACTGTTTATCTTGAGAAAGAAGAACATACGCAATACCCTCAAAAGGTTAATGTTTGGGCAGGGATTGTAGGAAACCACATCGTTGGTTCCATTTTCATTGAGGGCAACTTGAAGGGCGACAATTATTTGGCACTACTTCAAAATGATGTCATTTCAAGTTTAGCAAACTTATATTCTGATCCAGGAAACTCTCAAATTCTAGTGAATACGATATGGTTTCAGCAGGATGGAGCACCGCCACATTTCCAAATTAATGTCCGGCAATACTTCGATACAACATTTACCAATCGTTGGATAGGGAGGCGAGGATCGATTGAATGGCCAACGCGATCACCTGATCTTTCATCATTAGATTTCATTTTATGGGGATATGTAAAGAGCAATGTGTACAAAACTAAAGCTTCAGATTTAAATGACTTGAAAGAATGAATAACGCCTGCGATTAGGTCGGTCATGCCTGATATGTTAAATAATGTTAGAAGACAGTTCTATTTGAGATGAGGATGTTGCTAAGACGTTCGCGGTGGACATTTTGAACATCTACTTCGTTAACATCCATAGTTCTTTCTCGTATTCTACCTCCCATTTAAAAAATTGTTGTTTGTACCTGTCATTCGAAGGGGGTTAAAGGTAGGAATGGCTTTTTTACGTTGAAGAATGTCAAATTATAATTTACATTTGACGTGTTTCGGGATTTTTAAATTCCATTTGGCTTTTACACACTGTATGCTAGGTACGAATATTCGAACTATGCTTCTCAGTTTTCTCGTATGTTACCGTATCCTTAATAATTATTTAATTCATTTTATCTAATTCATTTTCATAAATTTCATAACTGACATTCATATGCTGATGTTGTATTTGTTGCTTTTTTATTCATTTACATTGTTGTCATGATTACTTACATTGAATGGAGCAGGCCCGCTAGATTTATATAATAATACAGACGTATTATTAGAATAATAGAAACTAGTTAACTGCTTATGCATATAGCGGCTATACCATAAAGGGACAATTGAACGATTGTTCGTTTCCGGAACACCTGTGAAGATCTTTTGTTCAGAGAGTGAGTTTCGGTTTCATTTGATTTTTATGTTGAATCATAAGGAACCACAAACGAAGTTGAATCTTTCAACACGTCAATCACCCAAATATAACTGTTTATGCTCGATAGGTTCGTGCATTTTTTCACATGTTTACTTTGTAATGGTAAAATTTTCTTTTAATCAATCATAACAAATTGGGTATCACTTATTTTCTACCAATAAACACTTTGAATTTGAGACCCGACGTTAGGCTCACGCGGCTTGCGGTGCATCTGCGTCACGTGGGTCAGTAGGCGACTTTGCTAAAAAATCGTGAACCGCACTCTAAATAAATTATGAATAAAGAACTTGAGAAGGAAAATATTACAGCAGTCGAGAGTAACAGGTGTAGTTATTTGAAGGTGGTTGACAATGTTTCGTGGTGTATTTCATTAGTTCGGACTTTCATTGTCTAATATAATATAAATTGATTTGATAACCCTGAAAAAAACCGGAAGAAGCACTATATTCGGTAGATTTGAAACCATTGAGCTGAACTTATTGTTTTCGATCCCGTAGATAGGACTGAAAGAGTGCGATTAAGGATGGAGATAATCCAAAAGCTACTAGTTTGTTTAGTAGAATGCCATGGTCAAGCCTGTCGAAGGTTTTAGAAAAGTATGTGTAAATAACATCAGTTTGGGCCTTATTGTCAATAGATTCAGCAATATGTTGGGTTACAGTCAGAAGATTGGTGACCGTTGAACGATTTTTCATATAACTCGCTCCAGCAGAATCTCAAAAACCTTTGCAAACTGACAAATAATAGAGATAGGCCGTTAATTTGAAATATCTCGTCTATCTCCTTTCTTGAAAATGGGACAGACACATAGCACTTCAAAAAATAAATGAAAAGAAACAATTCAAAAACATAAATACCCAGAAATACAATTTGAGCAAAACTAAGTTCACATGTTAAATAGATTAAATAGAACAATAAAAACTAAAAATTTAACCACATATGTCGAAAGAATAGTTATATAACTAAAAAAATTCAAAAATAAATACACACAATTTGAACATAGGTTCACATGTCATGGTAATAAAATAAGATATATCATAGTATAAAATATGATTTGAAGTAGGTGTCAATATAAACGATAACAAAAAAACACGTATATTAAATCACAGCAAAGTTCCATAGTAATATCCACCATAATCATGTCTCAGCCACCGTATTCACAAGATTTGCCCCCTGCGACTTTTTTCTGTTCCCAATATTGAAGATACCCATGAATGGACAGCGTTTTGCGACGATGAAAGGCATACCAAAAAGTGCATATATCAACTGCCTCGAGGAGTGGAAATAACGGTGGCACAAGTGATCTGAGAGGTACTACTTTGAAGGGGACAAAATATAAATTGATGAATAAATAGATATTTTTTGTGAAAAAATGAGAATTCTCCTTATGTTTTGAGCAGACATCGTACACTGTTGTGATAAAACAAAAGCAAACAAAAAATGTATCATTATTATTACATTATTGTTATTATGTTACGTTTCCGATATTCTCTCTACGATTCGTCGATCTCTAATGAAACTGGATACAATTTAAATTCAATTCTTCGTCATTGAACATATGCGTTACAATACATTTCATACGAATATGGTTTTCATTGTCGATATGTCCGTGATAGTTGATTATTTTTGCTTGCTCATGCAGTGTTGTGGGAAAAAATGTGTAATAAATCATTGACGTGGGTGGTTCTGGTCGTCACATACGAGGGCACACATCGTAATGGAAAAGTCTGATGTGTTGCAGCAGTTATTTACGAAATGTTGCAACACATTGGTTATTTATTTCCTTCGTTGTTCATACCCAGTATACTCACATGGAATCACCAGACATATTTTGTTTTGGTTTGTTTTATATACTGTTAAAATGACTATCGTCATTGTGCTAGATTGTGTTGGCATGGTTCTAATTAATTTGGTCAATATTCCTAGGGGTAAGTTCATCAATTACTCAAAGGCCACTTGAACCAGCTGCCAAGCATTTCCTAGGCGAGCTCTTATTTTTTGTTGAGCTTATCTCATAAATTTTCTGCTGGATTCGGATCTGGCGGGCCTGCAGGTCAATCCAGAACGGCCACTCCTTACGCTTTGATGTATTCCTAGGTAACCCTTCCAACATGCCAACTGTGGCTTCTAGCAATAAATCAACATCTCTCCCACCAGTTAGAGTTTGTTACATGAGTAGTTAAGAAGTGTTTCCAACATATTGTCCCTCCAGAACGTTTAAGTTTCTCTCCCATATTCTGGAATAGATCTAGCAGTCAGAAGTCTAGGTTTTCTTCCTGGAGCTTTCAACTCAAATTCGATGATCATCTGGATTTATCTGAAAAAAATACAGTTCATCAGTTTTCAAATGTCTAGCTTCAGTGCTGAAGGTATCAGCCAAAGCGACTTATTTTGTTTTTGTTTTGGCAACTCTGAGACCCGTTAGTGCTATACAAACTTTAAGAATATGGTATCTTCCTCATTGTTTCAACTGTAGCTTCTGGAAGCTACACTTGAAACAATGAGGCAGTTCCTGCCAAGCATTAGTAATACTTTAACAATTTTGTTTCATCTGTTGTTAATAGTCCCCAATTTTGAATAGTTTGGCTAGGTTTTTGACAATTCACTGTGTCTTACACCTATTACAGAACTCAGTTGTTACTAAATTATTTCAAAAATTTGTCATTAGCGAGTAAGGCCTACACAAAGTCAAATAAAAGAATAATGTACCGGGCATCATAAATTCACTAGTTAATACCATATAGAACCTCAAACCTAAAAATAATGATTAGACCTCTTATGAATTTCCACGCCGCCCATGCTAAACGAAGAAACTATCGACGTTCGGTAACTTTTCAATTTTCAAGCCATTCAAACTGACTTCGTACACACTATAAATCAAAAAGTCGAATACTCCTTATATTATGTAGCATTTGTAAAATACAATTAAAGAACCTGTCAAAAATATATATCTATAATAGTTTATAGGAAAAATTTTGGCGGTTCATTTTTCTTACAATCACCATCAAAAGTTTATTCCTATTTGAATTGGTTCAACACATCCTTAGACTGAAACTAGGTTTTGAACAAATTACTGAGTTAGGTTATAAACAACGTCTGCATCTCCTGGTTGTGAAATGCGCATCGAAAAGAAACTTACATTTCTGGTGATCATAAAAATTCCGCGTGGTACTTCAATTTTGTCTAGGAGTTTATCATGACATCCTACTGAAAAAATTATATTTTTATGGAATAAGAGGAGTTGCATTTTCACTTTTTGAATCCTACCTGAAAAATCGATTTCAGGCATTTCGTTTCAATAATAGTACATCGGATTTTAAAAATCATGATGTACCCCAAGGATCTGTCCTGGGGCCACTTTTATTTATTATTTATGTTAATGAGCTAACTTCCTTCAAATGTGTTCTTTTTGCCGATGATACGTCATTTATATGTTCAATCCAGGTAACCACGTTTTATTAGATGGATCTAAAGAAATTTAAGAAAAAGTTGGAATATGGTTTAGAGACCACAATGATAACAAGTCTCAGAGGCTACTCGTAACGACCCGTCAGTGTGAAGAACAAGGCCAGAATGTGAAGCTACTTGGTGTTCTTTAGACTCTAAACTGAATTGGAATGCTCATATAGATCAATTGAAACATAAACTGTCGAGCATATTATTTCTTCTGCGACAGCTCAGGCATATTTCAAACTACGAAACTTTGAGAACAGTTTATTTCTCACTGTTTTTGTCTCATATGGGTTACGCCATTTCACTGTGGGGAAAATCCTCGGCTGCTAATGTTATTTTCATTCATCAAAAAAAGGCATATAAGCTTTCTATTTCAATCAAAAAATCATCAAATCAAAACGATGAGTGTGAATAAGTTTAAACGAACCATCAAATCGTATTTGCTAAAAAACATTTTTTACTCAATCAATGAATACTTGGAAGATATTCAAGGTGTGACCTTTAGCCTCTGAGAACATACTTACCGTTTATGTACTTATGTTTCTTATATTTTAGTATGTTTATGTGTATGTTTAAGTGTATTAGTATATTACTAAATAGTTTACTTGATATCTTTTGAGACCAAATGACTTGCTATGAATAGTCAAATAAGCAGTCTATCTATCTATTTATGTAGCTTTCATAGTTTAGATATAAATTTGATCGTACCGAATGCGGCACCATAGACCATAGTCTTGATCAAATATAATTCTGCTAGTGAAAAAATCTTCATAAAAAAATTACGGAAACCCATTTGCCAATACACCATAATGATAGTACATTGTAGTAGAAGTATTGTAAACGTTCAAAAAGTTATTTCTGTTTCAGAAAAGAAAAATGGTTGTGGAATCCACTTCGACGCAAGTTCTAAGGGATTTAGAAATTTCGTTACGTACAAATCATATAGAGTAAGTATACCATTATTACATTAATTTCAACTAAATGATCAGTATAGAAAATCTGTAACAGTGTTCTAATAAAAACTGTTGTTCTAAATTACAATTTTGAAACAACCTAAAATACAACTTTAGGTTGTTTCAAAAGTTTCGTCCGTTTTTATGAGTCTACTTTAAATTGTAATATCTCAGTGAATTGAGATATGAAGCTACGAAAACACATGACAATAAAATAGTCAAAACTTTTAAAAGAACCTAATATTAGTAGAGTTTTCTAAAGACCATTAGTAAGGACGTATTTGTGAGGGGAGCCATACATACAAAAATATGTCTGCAAAACTTCTCCCTATCTCTAGAGATTATGTGTTAGATTTATAGTTCAGACTTTTGGGTACTCCTGGTTTTAAAACGACAGATGTTGATTTAACAACCGTTCATCTTGATAATTTGAGATAAATGTAGACAGCAAACCATCGTTGTGAAAAACTGTCGAAAGTTGTTTTCCGTTAACCAGCTATCGCCCTCTAACGAACAATAGCCCTCAGATATTGATTTACGTGTGATTTCTAGAAAAAATTTCAATGCATTGCAAATGCATTGAATTAACGTGTGTATGTATGTTCTGTTCCTCAGTTATAATATTCTTCAGACCAGCAGATGATTCATCATAAAAAATGTTCTTAAAAACGTTTTATCCGAATACACACTATTCGGTCCTACGAGCCGGATAAACTAAGCGCTAGCGATCAATGAAAATCTGTTTACGCTCAACTACGTCAATATCTTTTCAGATGGGTTAGGGAATTTTTGAACGAGGACAACCTCGGCCTCGACGTATTAATAGATTATTTGAGCTTCCGGCTCGGCATGATGAGGCACGAGCAGAGGATAGCGGAATCTCGAACGGCGTCCGAAGAAAAGCTCTCGATCAACACGCTCGCCGTCAACTTGAGTTCGGACAAGACGAACGGATACATCAGGATGCCGCTGGATATGCCCGATAGTCCCGGCTTGAAGAGGAGGTCGAAGCACGTCGCGAAACTGAACATGGGCGACTCCAAAGACGACATACACGTGTGCATCATGTGTATGCGGGCTATCATGAACAACAAAGTAAGTACACGTGGTGGGTTCGATGGGAACTCTGGTTTTTGAATTTTGGAACTGCGCATGCGTAGTAACTCAAAGAGAGTCAGTATTTGGAGATTAATCTTTCTTGCTGATTTGAAGTAGGTTAATATGATATCATCTTAAAATAGTTAGGATTGTAACGAATGTAAGGAAGGAATGTTTGTACAATGATATTAGTAGGATGTCTAAACTTTCTGAGAGAGTTGCACTCAATTAATAATGACACTGTAAACACTGAACAATTTGCAGAACCGCAACGAGTGTTTCACTAAACAGTAGCTTCTTCAGGATGCATTGCAGAGGGAACTAGGTTATGTCTTAATGAGATTTCAAGTTTTACCAGTTTCCCAGTTCGGATTTTTTTGAACAAAGGCAATGTGAAAAATTCTAGCAAACTCTATTTCTTCCGGAGCTGAAATATCTAGGTATCCTTTGATAAAAACTCACCTGAAACGCTCAATTGGAAATAGTTTTACAGAAATCCAAACTTTCCCTATAGACCATCGAAGGATCCGTGGAAAATATTAAGGCTTAGACCTCAAACAAATAAATTTGGTATATTGAATGATTGTAAGACCAAGTAATTGCTTGGTGGCCCAGACTTTCTGGTGTACAGACTTGCCTGGCTTTATCTGGTTATTGCATCAGCAATACACGGTTAGCTACCATGGAACTCATTCTCTACATGTTTCTGGGGAGAGAGGCTATATGGGCAGCATACACAATTTTGCATGTTGCCCATTGCACAAAAAAGGCTTATGAGGACCACAGCATACTACTGGCTGACACTGAAAGGCAGAGCATCTGGGAATGACCTCCGACTTGATGCAACTATCAACAGCGAACTGCCTATACATTTCTAATCCCAAGTAGAGAGAATTCGGTCATTCGGTAGTAAGAAATAATAAGAATAGATAACTGTTGCTTTCCAGATGGATCAAAAACACCTTCAGGTTCTGATGCAGGTGTATACTTTCGCAGGCCCATGACAGAGTCATCAACAAGCCTGAGAACCTATGTTTTGAAGTGAAACCATCTGTGCAGCCTGTGCAGCCTGTGCACCTGTGCAGCCTGTTTCGGTTGGAAGATTTATTGAGATGACATATCAGTTTCGGAGTACCAGCTCCTCGTCATTGCCGAGTGAGTCAGTTCAGAAGAACAAACAGTCCTTTCAACTAATCACAAAAGCTTTGCTTGAAATTGATTCGGTAGGCTAGTCACCGCGCCACCTGCAGACAAAGTCCAAAAGCAACTCCATAAACATATACTCCGGGGTGGGAGTCAAAATAATGAATATATTTCGGAGAAGTTCATACGAAAAACCCTAGTTCCGATAAAAATACCAGACCCTTGCGTCTCATGTGACACCTACGATTTGTAGGTACGTGTGGCAGATATGCGACGGAAAATTAACTAACCTAGCTAGTGCTAGACGGAAAGTTGAAATTGAACCATCAGACACTGGTGCAAAGTCTTCCATTTGGGGAGAATTTGTCATAATTTTCTTTCTTAGGGATACTCAGGCGGTTCATTCCATCTGAACTGAACTACCCGGTACTGATAGGAGCTGGTACTGTAAAACCGATCTGTCGGTGGTAATTTTGGCATAGTCGTAGATCTCATATGATAGGCAAGTTCCTTGGTATTTTTAGCAGAACTTTGACAAGATAATTACAGGGTTATCAAAAGAAAAACAATAGATATTTTACAGTTAAGAAACAAATGATCATTTTATTTTCGTTTGATTTGAGTTGGTTCTCAGAAAATATATTGTTTTCTTTGGTTATTCCAAATAATATGAAATCACATTATATCATGCTTACAAGAATTCTGACCCATTCTATTTCTACACAGATCTAAGAATACCTCATTCCAATTCCCACTAGTTTATTTGCCAGTGATTAGATATATCAACAAAAATATAATTAAGGGATTGATAGTATCAGGAGATAAAAGAAGCTGGGAGTAAATTCTGACCCGGCTTTTGTTTACTTGATGAAATTGTCGAATTTAGGTGAAACTTACTGGGTTTTTTGTGGCCGGATAATGAATTTCCTGATACAGGCTTTGCATTTCAAAGAAAATAAATATTTCAGATAAAATTTAAAACGTTCATCTCTCCCAGCTGACCATGAGACTCCTAAGGAGGCTCGGCATGTATCGACATAGTTGTTGTTGTTGACCAAAGTTGTCAATGCCATGTTTACGAAAAGTAAAAAATATAGGAAAATATTTTGACAGTTTTCATGATATATGCCTTCTTTCCAAGAGTTAGGAATCCTTATACTATTTATTGATTAATATGAAGTTAGCCGCAGTTTCCTGGCCACACTTTCTGACGTAGGAAAAATTGTATGTGGGATAGAGGAGCAAACACTGTGTTTCACAAAAAAGAAAGATGAACAAAATGTTACATATATGTGGTCAAAACAATTTGTTTAGCCGTATACGCGAGGAAAAAATGTCCAACAAAACTTCAAGTAAAGTACCCGAAATATTTCGAGTGCCAAAAATTATTGGGCTTTGCAGGAGAGGCGACATATGACACGTTATATATATAGGGTCGAATGAATTTGTAATAAACAGGAAAGAACAATTATTGACGAGACTTTGAGTAAACTATCAGAAATATTTTGAAAGCTAAAAAGTATTGTGTTTCGCAAAAATGGAGACATACAAAAAGAATTATATCAACATTTGTTTGGCCGTAATAGGCGAGAAAAAAAATAATGTCTGTCAAGAATTCAAGTACAGTACCCGAAATATTTCGAGTGCCGAAGTTTATTGAGCTTTGTAGGAGAGAAGGCACAAAGTAGGTTAATGGTGAGGAATAATCTCGGAATGATTTGAAAATATGAGATTATTTCAAAGAAATTTTTGTATTCCTCTTCCGTCATCTGAATAATCAGCAGATTCCTATTCGCAGTATGGTTTCAACATGGTGATCCAACATCGAGAAGCAATAAACTGCATATCACTCAGCCTGATCCACAAAAGTTTACGAACGAAAGCCTTAGTCTTAGAGCTTCTAGCCGCCATATGCCTCGTCAAAGGGGGCCACGAAATAATACTCTCAGCTTTTGATAATTTCAAAGAAGTATGCCACGAGAGGTATCGATTTCAAACGCTCATGGAGTACTTCCTCAATTTCGAAGTCTTCCACATAGAGTTTATGGTGAGTAGATCGGGAGTGCTACGAGGTTACATTTCAGGGCCATTTTGTAAATTATTTATACTGTTTCAGGTCGCTTGTATGCAATTCGTCAATATAATTGTGCATTCAGTAGAGGATATGAACTTCAGGGTGCATTTGCAGTATGAGTTTACGGCTCTGGGTCTAGACAGTTATTTGGAAAAGTTGAGGTTCACTGAAAGCGAGGAATTGCAGGTGCAAATCTCCGCTTATTTAGACAACGTTTTCGATGTCGCCGCTCTAATGGAGGATAGTGAAACCAAAACAGCAGCGTTAGAGAAAGTATCTGAACTCGAAGACGAGGTTGCTCAGGTACAGTCTACAGTAGATTTCAGGGAACCAATTGTATCAAGCTGAATATTTTTTCAGATGCATGAGCGGTTGCAAGAAGTGGAATATCAGGCCTTGGAGAAAATTGCAAACTTAGAGACTGAACTGATACAAGTTAGGCAAGAGAGGGATGAACTGGTCGAAGTTAAGAAGAGGTCTGACGAGGAGGTGTCTACGCTGAGGAGGGTTGTGCAACATCACGAACAGGAATCGAAGAATAGGCAGTCTATGTTCGAGTCAAAAATTGCAGAGTTGGAGCATGTTAGTAGTTTGCCTCGGGGATCTTCAAGTGAGTATTATTTTTGTGAAAAAAATATTAAGTATTTTTTTATTATTTTATAAATGGAGTTCAGGTGAGAGGCACCTTACCCCTTGCCTCTCGTGTGAACCTACGACTTTGTAGGTACGTGTGGCAGATACTCGACGGAAAAACAACAACGAACCCAACTAATGCCGTGTAGAAAGCTGAAGGCACCTGCGCAACGTCTTTCATTTGGAAGATTTGTCGCAAGTACCTTTCTATGGAAGTAAGTTCAGCTATCTGCGCGGAATTATCTGGGTTAGTTGTTGCTTTTTTCTGTTGGGTATCTGCCACGCGTACATACAAAGTCGTAGGTCTACATGAGAGGCAAGGGGTACAATGAGTACAAATAATTCAAAGAAACGGCAATAAAAAAGACCGAGTATGTGTCATCTGCAAATAATTTAATTTTTCAGTTTAGATAGATGTCAAAATTCAATACATACACTTTTGTGGAATATTTTGTTGATGTTGATGAACTTTGTCCAAAATAAAGTCAAATCTTCCAATTTGAAACAATATTATAATAATTAGAAAATACATGCAAATGGTCTATTCCTTTATCAAAGTTGACACAAATATTTGGAGATAATAAATATTTACCATAAAGCTATATATTATAATATTATGAAATTGCTCTGGAAATTGTGTGAAAGTTACAAGAATTTCAACATCATAAATAAATGGAAAACATCACAATAAATTCAGTGAAGAGCAAAAATTATATTGGTGTTAACAAGGATAATTACTTTTATGAAAATTCGATTTATAAATAGGAATTTATTTTGAAATTTAATGTTTTTTAAAGGGGAACTTCAGTTAACTAGTTCTTGAAGTGACTTCATTTTATTATGCTGTTATGAAAATCGTTCTGCAATCTTATTAAAACATATTAAACATTTAAACATATTAAAATATTAAAAACAAAAATACTGCAGGCTACGATAACATTTCAATCAAAATAATACAAAACCTTCGTCCTAGTGCCCTAAATGTACTGGTTTCACTGATAAATTTATCCTTTCAAACAGGCATTTCCATTTTTTCTAAAAACCTCTGTGGTCATTCCTCTGCATAAGGGTGGAGATTCTGATGATCCCTCTAATCTCCGCCCTATATCCTCATACCAACCATCGCAAAAATCATTGAAAAACTAGTCAAATACGACTACTTGGATTCATAAATAAGCATAACATCATCAGTGAAAATCAATACAGCTTCCAGAATAATAAAAATACGCACGATGCTATTTTCTTATTTCTGAATAAAATTTATTCTGAGATAAATGTCGGTGAAAAGACTGCCGCAGTATTTTGTGACTTGTCAATGGCATTCGACTGCGTTGATCACAAAATACTGCTGAGAAAGCCCCAATGTTATGGATGCAGAGGAGTAACTCACAAATGGTTCGATTCCTACTTAATGGGATGGATGCAAATGGTCAAAACATCTCAACTTTCAAAAAAAAGGGAAATTAATTCTGGAGTTCCACAAGGTTCTGTGTTAGGTCCCATTCTTTTCTTATGATATATAAATGATCTCACCTATCTCAATATTTCTGGGAAGTTCACTTTATTTGTAGCAATAAAGTTGGAACAATAAAAACACTTGTGAGTTGCACAAAATAATCTCTGCTGACTTGAAAAAAGTTAAAGATTGGTGTGATTCAAACATTTTATCTTTCAACTCAACTAAAATAAATTTATTATCATTTAGATGCTCAATCGATGAACTTTTCTTTGAAGACAGATCACTGGAATCTAAAAATAACACTAAATTTCTAGGCGTCTTCATTGACCAGAATTTAAAATTTGTGGATCATGTTAAACAACTCACTAGAAAAGTCTCCTCTGGTTGTTATGCGGTTAGAGTGATTTATAAAAAATTGGAGTTCAGCACGGCAAAGATGGCGTACTATGCACTCATAGATTTTCACTTACCCTACGGAATACCGTTTTATGGGGAGCATGCAGTCCAACTTTATTCAAAAGCCTATTGATTTTACAGAAAAGGGCAATACGGTATATAGGAAGCCTAAACCAAGAGACTCCTGTAGAACGTTCTTCAAAAAACATAATATTCTAACGGTAACTGCATTATTTATACTGGAATCTGTGTGTTCAATAAATAAGCATATATTAAATTTTGCTGCATCCTCTTCCCATTATAACACCCGAAACTGCAGACACGCTCTGAAACTTACTGTGCCAACAAAAAACATTACCAGAGACTCCATATTTTACAATGATGGAAAAATGTACAATCATTTGCCTATGGACATAAGATCTGCCAATATTTATAAACTTGACTTTTACTCTTTTATATATACATATCTTTTATATCCTCCATTTTAACATAGTTTGTACCCATGCAGCATTTTTATTTCAATTTCATTTGGTATGTATTGCATACATACCAAATGAAATTCCAGACACAAACTGGAATAAAAAGCCCTCTCGAAACAGCTATTTTCATATAAACATTGAATTACACGAATGAAAAAATACTTTGGGAACAAATACTGTTATATGAACGCTTCAAAATAAGATAAAGCATATTATTATTATTATTATTATTAATCTTCAGCAATTTTAATCAACTTTACTCATTTAATACCTAATAATTTATGTGACATATTGAAATGTCTCAACCAAGTCCATTATAGAGTTCTGGAATGTGGTAGAGGACTCTAAAATAATTCTCTTAAAAGTAATTTAAAAAAAAATTGAAATGGTTTCTTCAGCACCGTTCGATAGTCTTCGGTTAGTCAGGATGGAGCCTGGCTCCCTTACTCTTTCGGCTGGTGTTTGTCGGAAGGACAAATGGGACATAACCGATTAGAGATGACGGCATGAAATTCCTCAGACATCAGTACCGCCTTTCACGGTGTGCCCCTACCTGGCTGGGGTAAGTGGATGAAAAGATTCTTCATCCGTTTACGAAAGATATGAGGGCCTCATTCGGAGTGTCGGGGCCTTCTAAATTGGGGAGGGTCGTCTACAGTATAATCTATAGCTTCCCTAACCATACGAGTTTCTTCGGCATCCCTTGTAATCAAATATATTAAAAAACAGACTTATTATGAAAACATAACCATTAAATTGTTTCAAACAAAAAAAGAGAACCTCTGAAACCTCTGCCGATTACTTTATAGGGTAAGGAGGTCAACATCCGCCCTTTTCAAATCATATCTGCATGAAGTACATGAAGTTATGCAAGTACATGAAGTTATTTTTCATGCAACTTTTGTGTGCGGGTGTACTTCAAGGATCCATTGTGGAGTCGCACTTATTCATCATCTATATCAATGGTATATTCCAGTCATTTTTGGCATTCCATTGAAAAGTTTATTGGAAAATAATAACAAGAATATTCGATGATCAAATTTTTTGCATCCAACCGTGATTCTCCACATTTAATTTCCCTTTTCACAATTATGATAAACCTTCAGATAGGTTTTCACATCCTGAAATGAAGGTAATAGTGATATAAGTAGGTGTATGTTCGTTATATTTTTGTAAACATTCGAATCAAACTGTACTTTCTTCTTCAGTGTCAGGAATCTCAGACTTAGCCCCGACGATACCGGAAGCAACTTCAACGCCGTGCAAACCCCCACCTCCTCCCTGTCCCCCTCCCGCTCCCGTAGCACCTCCCCCTCCTCCTTGTCCGCCTCCTCCACCTCAGAAGCTTTCTTCGGGTCCAATTCCTCCACCTCCTGCCGGATTCATGCAAGCTCCAGACGGAGCAATGACCATCAAGAGGAAAGTTCAAACGAAATACAAGCTGCCAACTATCAACTGGGTAGCTCTCAAACCTAATCAAGTAAGGGGGACCATATTCAATGAGTTGGATGACGATAAGCTTCATGGGTTTATCGATTTCAACGATTTCGAGGAGAGGTGAGTTAGCAACCATGAATTTTATATTCAATCTAATTTTTCTCCAAAGAAAATGACAGGTACAAACAATTTTTTTGTCCGTTGTTTTATCAAAATTCAAGAAAAGTATCATGAGAAAGGTGAATACATAGATATCGTATTCAAAAAACACTTTATTGTGATAAGAAATGTTTCGCCATATGATGGCTTCTTCAGGCGTGTCTTTAGATAGATAGGCGTGAATACATAGATGAAATGATTGTGATTCAACAACTTGTAAAGATTTAACGCAAAAGAATTGAAAAACTTTGATATATCATTTTTAAAAACAAGAATCGTTTTATTCTTGAAGTCAATTAGAGAAGTATTACAAATTATGAATTAATAAATATTTTTCAAATCACTCCACACAATTAAGTTGACTTCTGTGACAAAAAAAGATGAAACTGTAGGAAGAGACATACTTATATTAGAACTAGAAGACCCGGCCACGTGTTGCTGTGGCTGAGGTTGTTGTTATATTACATTGTAGTAAACTATTTAAGAAGAACGGTAGGAGAACATAAGTCACGGGGAGCACCATGCTTTTTTACATAAATGTCATTTGAAAAAAAATATGGCGACCTCCATGACAGATTTTCTACTACCGCAACCCCTAATTACAATGAAATTATTATTTACGAACGAAGACGGAAACGTTAAAGCTGGTATAAAAATCCACTGTATTGGGATTTGAAGGGGAAGGACTTTGAACACGATTGATTAAAATTTCTGTACAGTTGATATTAAGCAAAAATCAATACAAAAGAATTAATTTTAAAATTTATTATCATTTTTATTAAATTTTGTAACAAATGAGTATATTACAAAGTTGTTAGTAAATTACATGTGACACTTAAACTCATGAATACCACTTTCCCAGTTAAAATGGTTACTTCAAAAATATATCCGGTGATCTTTTTGATGACCAAAGGCGTACCGTTGCATAATTGAGGTGGATTCAAATTACGTAGGAGAATAATAGGGGAACCAATCTTTAATTGATGATTATGTGGTTGCATTCCAGGTATATCTACTGAATTTAAATATTCAATTGGAAAATTTACACTTTCATTTTCATCATCAGTCTAAGTAACACGTGGCCGGCTATGCTAACACCAAAAATTTGAAAACTAAAAACAATTGAATTTCACGGTATTTCGTTCACTACAAAATAAATATAACTTATACTTCAGCCTCAACAACACGTGGTAGGGTTATGTTATTGAATTGTGGCTTGTATGACACGTTTGTAGGTTTAACATAGCAGCGCCATCTATTGATTACTTACTCAATTCAGTCTACAGTTATCTAAAATATAACATTGATTTTTTTTTAATAAACATGGAACATTATGAATATCAAAGAGATATCAACAAACTAATGATATGAAATTTGTTACAATTCAATTTGTGCTAGTGATATATCATAAGATACTTCATCGTCAATAACAGAATATACATTTTTATCAGTATTTACCAAACATTGATGTTTTTTCATAAAATAACTACCCCTACTACCCGTACGAGGGTAGTAGGAGTTATTTTCGGGATTTGGTAACCCTAGTGTTGCAATCTGACAACTGACAGCTCTATCGTAAAGTTGGACATTTTTGAGCTTATAGGTATGTACTAAGAAGGTTTTGACATACGCGCGCCATTTGTGTTGTTTACAGTAACTTAAAAGATTCATCTCTGGCCAAAAATGAAATTAAATGGTGAACATTTTTGTTCACAATTTATGGGTGTTTCAAGATGACCCAAATCCAACACAAAGCACTTCCAAGCAAATGTTTGCCTGGTTTTTCGGAAAAACTGGACGTGTCGCAACCGTACCACTGGAACAACGCAGAACGGTCAATTCTGAGTGGTACACAACCATTTGTTTGCCAGTTGTCTTCCAAGAAATCAGAAAAAACAACCGCCAAAGACGGATCATTCTTCACCACGACAATGCGAGCTCTCACACATCGGCTCAAACAACTGCATTTTTGAGCACTCAAAACATCGATTTGATGAGTCATCCGCCGTATAGTCCCGACTTGTCACCGAATGACTTCTTTTTATTCCCGCACGTAAAAAACAAACTGAGAGGTCAACGTTTCTCGACACCTGAAGAAACAGTTGTTGCATTCAGAATGCATGTTTTGGAGATACCTCAATCAGAGTGGCAAAAGTGTTTCAACAATTGGTTCAAACACATACAAAAGTGTATAGATCTTCATGGGGAATATTTTGAAAAACAATGAAGTGGTTTTCATTGATTAATATTTGTTTTTGTTCTCTAATCACAAAATATAAAAGGCAACCCTTGTATTACTAAAAATATGGCTGAGTTTGCTAAGTTAATTTGGTTTATATGAGTTTCTGACTAAAATCACAAATAATTCACTACAGGGGGTATATATTTCAATTGGAAAATTGGGGTTTTTCATTTAAATTCTCAGATTTTTGATAACTCAGAAATAAGTTAGTTTGGGATAGAGTCATAAGACTGAATTAACTGCAAATCTGCTCTATTCGCCTCTTGCCAGTAATGTATTGTATTTTTTAAATCAATTTGCAGATTCAAGATCGGTAATGCTAACTTACTGATGAATGGCAAAAGTGAGACTGATGGATTACATACTTTCCCTAGCAAGAGAGGAAAGAAACCCGAAAATGTATCATTGTTGGAACACACAAGGTTGAGAAATATTGGTAAGCCACTCCTTTGGATTCCAAAATTTGGAATTATCAATAAGAAATAATAATTATGTATTTATTTATTTACTTATTGACTTTCCATCTCTCCATTATTAAACAATAAATGTAGGAACTTCTAAAAAAAAAAGAAAAAAAAAGTAACTTTCTGTGCATTTACCTATTTGGGAAAAACGAAATTCAATGTTGGCAACACCGCTGTGGGTTTGGAAGATAGGTAAACGCAGTTGAATGATTGTGCTTTGAAAAGTCAATCACTAAACCGGTGGTTTTTCATAAATTGTGAGTTGTTACTGCTTTCAAAAACGTTTCTTTAAACTGGTTCTCCTGATACTCCTTGATCGTATCTAAGTTTGCAACAGTATTTTTTTCCTTAAGAGGTTGAAATTAAAATAACAAGGCGAGAAAATTGGTAAGTCTTGATGATAAGTTCATTTAATCACCACTGAGTTATTATTTAGTGTATTCTGTGTTTGAGTTCATTGAATCCATTACAGAATAATAACTTTCGAAAGCGTGAAAGTAATTGTTTCCAAAGGATTTTTTCTTCCAGTTTGTGTCAGAAAGGAACTTCTCTGTATGCTCTATATATTTTTATTAATAAAAGTTTTTATTATAATAATTTATTTTCGTCTTTACTTTGGAAGTGCCCACATTTTTTGTTTAATGATGAATAGAAAGCGAAAAGGCTTTTTTCACGAGAACTGGTCTGTCCTAAAAATATTCCTTTTTCAATTTGAAAGAAATAATATTTCTGAAACAATTGTAACACACCTGATTTCAATGCAGAGATTTTCAATTCGTGTTTCATCTTTCAGCGATATCAAGGAGAAAACTGGAAATGACTCCAGAAAAAGTGATAAACGCAATCAACATGTTGGATCTGAAACAACTATCTCTTGAAAATGTAGAACTCTTACAGAGAATGGTTCCTACCGAACAGGAATCCAAAGCCTACAGAGAATATGTGCTGGAAAAGAAAAACATCAATCTCCTTACCGAAGAAGACAAATTCCTCTTCCAATTAACCAAAGTCGAGAGGATATCAGCCAAACTGTCCATTATGAGTTATATCGGCAACTTCTTCGATAACCTCCATCTTGTTACTCCAGTAAGCAAATTATCATTATTGCCAACCGTCGGTTTCCAAGCAACTTCTCTAAACATTTCTATTAACAAAATGTACGAAGGCGTAGAATGTATTAAGTTTTTGGTTTCAAAGTCGGGGAATTTTGAGTTTGAATTCCTACTCGAATCCTGGATTACTGTGGAATTTCAACTTTGTATTCGGATTTTTGTTGAATTGCGACTTTAAACTCGTAATTTCACTACATTCAGACTTGAACTTGTAATTTTATTGAATTCTGACTCTAACCTGGAAATTTCGTTGAATTCTGACATAAACTTCGAAATTTTCCTAAAATCTACTTGAAAACTTGGAATTTGTTTGGCCCTTCTATGCCTTCTCAAATTTTTTTTGAAGAGTGTATGATTTATGTTCAGAATATATTGAGAATTTTCAATGTGTTTGAAAAGTCGCTAATGATTTGCGTGAAGCAATCCGAAAAAAATCTCCGGTTTTGTGGAAAATCACTTCATGGCTTCTGTACCATGTTAATGCACCTGCTCACACTATGGCTTCATTGCTTGTTCGTAAATTTCGTACTCAAAACAGTACTATAATGATGCCACATCTTCCATATTGGCCAGACATGGTTCCATTGGATTTTTCCCTGTTTAAATGCGCATCGTTGAAAGAGTTTAAAGTTATCCCAAAGATCAAGTTTGAGAAGTGGTTGGAGGATTGTAAGAAGCGCTGACACAAGTGCATACTATCTGATGTAGACTATTTCGAAGGCTATTTTTTCAAAAAACGAAAATTGTCGTTATTTTCTTAACATACCTCGTATATAACTGAACTTCAATTGTTAAACGAAATGTTTGCTCCCTTTTTACGCATTTTTATAAGTCACTTTCTAACAAACGGTTGAGATCTGGTGCACTGCTTTTATTCAATAAAGGTATCATATAATCATGATTTCTTTTTAATTTTCAGCAAATGCATGCTATAATTTCTGGCTCGAACTCTGTCAAGAATTCTAAAAAGCTGAGGTCTGTCTTGGAAGTAATATTAGCTTTTGGAAATTATCTCAACAGCAGTAAGCGTGGCCCCGCCTACGGGTTCAAACTGCAGTCTCTCGATACTTTATTAGATACAAAGTCGACCGATAAACGATTGTGCCTTTTACATTATATTGTTGCTACGATAAGGCAGAAGTTTCCGGAATTGCTCAATTTTGATTCTGAGCTTCATTATATTGAAAAAGCTGCGGTGGGTAAGTATCGTGTTTTAATGCATTTCAACTTTGTCTAGAAAAGATACTTTGCGTATTCAGAAAATTTTAAATTACTTGTTTCACTTTCAATTTCAAAAAATAATAATGAATGTAGTTGTAGTATCTATCACAGAAGAATGTACTAGGTATATTCTATGATTTAACTCATGCATTTGACTTGGTTAACAATGACTTACTCTTTCGTTAATTGTACAGCATAGGAATTCATAGTTTACCACATGATTGGATAGCATCATAGTTGACAAATTGTACGCAAGTGACAGTAATAAATAATAGCAAATCTGACTGTAAGAGTGCTGATATAGGAGTGCCCCAAGGGTCTATATTGGGACCAATTCTTTTTATAATATTTTCAAATGACATCTACGATACGTGTACCACAACAAATAGAATGGTACTTTACGCTGATGACACAAATATACTCCTAGCCCTTAAAAGTTCGGAAAGTCTGGTGAATTGAGTAATTATGCATGTGATGAATTCAGTAAATACTGTAGCAACAATGACCTTGTCTGCAATATAAAGAAAACCAAGTTTATCAATTTCTTACCCAAAAACGGTACCTCAAATCCAGATCTGATGAAACTCTGGAATATTGTCAGGTAGCTAGATTTTCAGGAATACTCCTGGATCAAAAGCTAACATGGGAGGCACATATCAACAGTTTATGTGTAAAGGTTGGCAGTGCAAACTATGCAATTCAGAATCTGCGAGACAATGTCTCTACAGAAGTTATAAAACTCAAGTATCATGAGTACAATCAAGGCTACAGTATGGATTGATCTTCTGGGGAAACTCTGCTTATACTGACCTCATTTTCAAGTTTCAGAAAAGAGTCATTCGCTGTATGGACAAGTCTCGTCCACTGGACTCTTGTAAACCACTATTTAAAAAATTTAGCATCTTACCATCAATAATAATAATATTTATCCAGTTGCATCATCTATAGATGACATTGAGTATGTCAAAACATGTACAAATACAAAATTAAAAATACAAACTCCGCGCACTTAGAGGCACAATATACAATTTACATAGATAATATAATATATAATAGTCAAAACCTAAAATAATCTGCTATTTATGCATCGTTATTAAAATCGGCCTAAAATGTTGGACATGTACAGAGTCGTAAGTTATCATCCATATATTCTTTGAGAGAATAATAGGATCCAGGAGCAACTCTTTGATTTGATAGTTGTACTGGATTAGAGCCAGATTTTTTATTGTACTTGGAAGTTTATTGTACATTTTAATGGCCATAAGCCTGGGACATGATTCAGATTCAACTAATATGTGTGTTAGCACTTCGAATTGTAGGGAATTTCTAGTATTATAATTCTTATTATCATTAAAAGTAGGAAAACTGGTTATATGCGATTTTACATATTTTAATATCTCATAAATGTATATACTTGTAACAGTCAATATTTTGAGATTTCGGAGGATGAGTTTGCAACTTGTCCTTCTGGTAACTCCTGCTTTATACCTTATGGTTCTTTTTTGAATTTTGAGTAATCTGGAACAATCACTACATGCTCCCCAAGCTATAATACCTTAAGAAATGTTACAATGAAAGTATGCATGGTAGTACATTAATAAGAGTGATCTATTTACATTCCAGCGTAGTTGTTGTATACAATAAGATATTGAGGATATCTTTTTTTTAATCGTATCAATATGCTTGTTCCATTTGAGATTTTCTGTTATCTTCAAACCCCAAAAATTTTGTCTCCTCTTGTTGTTGAATTGATCCATTAATTGACGCTACTAGTAAACTGTGATGTGGAGTGGTTCTTGAATGAATAAAACGTAAAAGCACAGTTTTTCTTTCATTTAACAAGATACCATTGTCTGAGAACCACTTTTGGGTTCTTTTTATTTCATCAGATGCTTTATTAACTGTGGCTTTAATATTTTCCTGAGTTATCAATAACAGTAAAGCATCAGCATACATAACGAACTGATCACTATAAAAAT